GACCCCCCTCCAGGGGCTCCTGAGGCGGCGTGGGGGGGGGAATTCCTCCACTCCCCACAAACGCGACGTGACAGAACATGAAAAGACCACGTCGTGGTGGGTGTTGTTGTTGTTGTGGGGGGGGCAAAGGGTTCAGTCCCCCCCATGCCCAAGAAGCCTATAAACGGGGGTGGGTGGGTATCTCCCCATTCCTCGGCTACGACCCGCTCCCAATCCCCCCCCTTCAGCCTTCCTCCTCCTCTTCCTCTTTTTACCTCTCCTCTCCTCGCAGCGCCTGCCCGGCTTGGCTGCGCCCGCGCGTGTGAAGGCGTCCCCTCAGCGGGACTGAGGAGCGAGCGAGCGAGAGACGGACGCCCTTGCCCTTCCTCCTCCTCCTCCTCCTCCTCTTCTTCTTCTTCCCTGCCTGCCTGCCCGCCCACCGAGTCCCTCCCTTTCTCTCTCTCTCTCTCTCTCTCTCTGACTTCTTGGGCCGGCAGGCGGGAGGGCGGATGGACGGACGGTCTTCCCTCCCTCCCTCTTTTCTTCCCTTCCCTTCGTCCTCCTCTTCCCCCGTGTGGACGCCGCCAGGAAAAGGAGACGCCTCCGATGCCGCCGCCCCCCAACCGCCCACCTCAGAGCCTGAGGGGATGACGGAGAGAGAGAGGGACGAGGCGGCCGCGGGGAGAAGGCCCGGCCGCCTTCGGCTCCTCCTGACCCAAGAGGGAACGGGAGGGAGGCCGGCTGGCCGGCCGGCTGAGGGGCTGCCGGCCTGGCTGGTTGAGCTGAGGAAGCCGGCGGCTTCGGAGGAGCGGGGCCAACATCCGGGGTCTCTCTTCTTCTCTTCCCCCCCCCCCCCGCCGCCAGAAGAGGATGGGCGGGAAAATAATAATTAAAAAAAAAGAGAGGGAGAGAGAGGCCCGGAGAGGCGAAAGGCGGCCCCTGAGGGGAGGGAAAATGGAGGCCGGAAAGCGCGGGAAGGGAAAGCTGGCTTGGGTCGCCTCACGGCGGGGGAGCGGCGCTTGGATTCCCCCCTCAGGAATCGGGCCTGGTGGCTGGAAGAGCTTGTTTGGGAGGGGGGAGGACTCCCAAGTCCCAGAATCCACACAACCCCCCCCACCATCACACACAAGCCGCATGGGAGTTGTAGTCCACAAACCGCTTCCTAAGCTCTCTTCCATATACTTCAAATAATAGCATGGAGGAGGAGGCCGACTTCGCCAAAGGCCTGTGGGATTTAGCCGTCTTGGGAAGGAGAAAAGCGGGGTGAAGATACTTAAATTAAAATAAATAAGGGACTTTGAGGAGGACAACTCCCTCAAGCCGCTTGGGGTTCCCTGGGGTTGGCTCTTCAAGGGGGCCAAGACTCGAAGCGGGATCGTTTTTTTAAAATATTTTCTTTTATTCTGAGCCATAAAGAGGTAACGAGTTCCTTCTCTTCGCGTTTGTTTTGGGGTGTCTTGTGTGTAAAAAACAACAACAGCGAGGTAGGGGGAAGAGAAGAAACGGCAGCAAATGGCGGGGTTATCTTAAGTATCATTATTTCGTCTTCTCGCTTCTCATTCCCTCACGGAGTAATTTGGGAAAGGAGGGTTTCGGAAAAGTTACTTTTAGGGGGAGTCGTTTTCAAGGTGGCCGCCTTCCGGAGTCAAAGAGGCCGTGAGGATGCTCTCTTTCTACCCCTCGAGGGATTCTGGCCAGGCGGGCGACAAAACTCGACATTTGTGGGGGAGAAAACCGGGAAGAAATGTGGAAAGCCCTGGTGCAAGGAAATGCTCACCCCCGTGCAATTCTTGGTTTGCACAAAAGATGATGCAGGATGGGTGCAGGATGATTTTTTTGCAAAAAACAGCAGCTTCCAGCTAGAGATTCCTCCCTGGTGTTGGCATTTTTTTTTCCTGGGTGGGGAGCCCTTTGCAGCAAAACCGATAAAAAGTCTTGTGGCACCTTAAAGATAACATGCTGGCTGCTGTTTTTCATAAATATGGTGTAGCTATTCCCTTTTTTCCTCCAGCTGAAAGGACTCCCTCCCGCCCTCGCTCCTGGTAAGAGGAAAGATGAAAGAAGTACTGAAGAGAGAAAGAGAAAAAAAGGTGGGGGGTGGACATTTCCAGACAGAAAGCTTTTCATGTTTACAATGAGAAAGGACTGCACAGTTTTTCTTCTTTCTCTTAATTGATTTTCCCTTTTCCTCATAAGGACCAAAAAAAAAAAAAAAAGATGAAAGAAGCTATGGAAAAACAAGAGAGAATTGTGACCAGGCACTCGCGTCGTGTGAAGTCCCTATAAAACCTTTCAGGATGAAGTGCTATATAAAAGCCTCATCTGGAATCAGCCTACAAACAGAAAGCACCACCATCATCTGGATTTTCAGCAATGCTGTGAGGCAGTGCGATTCTGCACAACATGTGTCCTTGTGCCAGACTTCTTGTGTTAAAGATGGCTCTTCTGTGTTTCCCTTAATGGATAGTGACCCAAAAATGGAGTGAGCTCTTCTGTGTTTCCCTTCTTAATGGATAGTGACCCAAAAATGGAGTGATTGATTTTATACAAAGATATATACACATTTCTCATCCTTCTAGTGCTCACACCCTGCTCATGGCAGGTAAGGACAGTGGACCCCAATAACAACATAAAATAAAAGAACGATGGTCATAAAAAGATGCAGCAGAGGAAACACTTAGTGATGGCTCAGTTTCAATCAACTCATAGTAATCCAGTTATGGTTAAAATTGGGGCCCATCAAGAAAGAAACAGACGGCTTGATCTCTGCTGCACAAGGAAAAGCACTCAAAACGAATGTCATGACACCTACAATTCAAAGAGTTCATGCAAACAGCAAATGTTGACTCTGCCAAGAAAAAGATAACGCTGTGTTACACCTCATCTGTTCAAAAATGGGGCAGACCACAATAGAGTTGCAAAATAAATACACTGCTCATTATATAAAAAAATACAGTTTGCTAGCATCCAAGAATCTGTGGGAAAATCAGGTAGAGAGGATGTCAGAAAATTACCAAGTTAAGATTGTGTGGGATTTTTGGATTCATACAGACAGACACTGAGCATAACATACCAGGCATAACAGTAATAGAAGGAAGAAATGTCTGAATGATTGGCATTACAATTCCAAGGGGTGCCATAGCTGAAAATACAAAATTGGAAAAAATCACAAAATACATAGACCTGGAAATACAAGGTTTTATAAAATACATATAATCAGCTGCATATCTCTGAAATACCAGCACCAGAGCTACAAAAATGGCAATATTAGGAACAGCAAATGTTACACTGATGTTTGTGTGTGTGTGTTTAGTCGTTTAAATATTACACTGATATTTAGGTTTTAGTTAAGACTTGTATCTATTATATAATTAATACCAGGCAAAGACTGCATCTTTTATGTTCAAATGGCGATGATTATGATCATGGTAAACCTCCCAGGTCTGCTGCAGATTCAAAATGAAAAAGGGCTTCTTTTTTGCAAGATAAATGCCACTGGTTGGCCAGATGCTGACCTCGGGGAGCCACCCTGCAGGTAAATTGCTCCTTTTAGGAAACTTCCAGGCACTTGGTCCCCTTGAGGGAACATCAGCCGACCATTCCTGATAATTAGCTAGCAATGGTTCATCACAGAAGGGTCACCCAGCAGCTGTAACAATAGAAAGATTGGAGAGCAACCAACAGTCAAGCTGTGGAGAGAATAGAAAGCTCATTATATCAGCAAGGGTGGGGTGGGATCAAGGACTCCTATCAGGAAAAAAATCTCCCCTGTGAGACAGCCTATCCCAAAATAACCCCTCAAAGCCTCCTGCAACATTGATATCCTGGATGTTTCATTCCACACACATTTGCTCTGGGTTTCCAAAGGCATACACTTGTCCCGGGGCAGTAGCGGAGTGACATCCTGCAGCCCCACATTATTTCAGTTTTACCTGGCAAATATAGAATCATAGAAAAGTGAAGTTGGAAGGGGCCTACAAGGCCATCCAGTCCAACTCCTCAGTGCAGGAATACAATCAAAGCAATCTTCCAGGTGATTGTCTAAGTTTTTCTTGAATACCTCCTGTGTTGGAGCACTCGCCCACTCCCGAGGTCACTTGGTTCCACTGTCGTACTGCTCTAACAGGAAGTTTTTCAACCGAAATCTGGTTTCCTTTAAATAGGATATACAGTACAATAGTATCCTAATTTCCATATGACTCAGAGCTGCATGTTCAGGGGACCAGACAAGGGAGGAGGGCATAAGTTTGCACATCCTCTCTTGTATCAGATGTACATTTGACTATTGGTGATATGTGCCAGTGTATGAAGCTCTAACTTATGGAGTGACGACTTTGGGCACATCATGAAAAGGCAGGATTATCTGGAAGAGACAATCATGCCAGGAAAAGAGGAAGGCGACAGGAAAAGAGAAAGACCAAATACAAGATGGACTGACTCCCTAAACCACAGGATTCAGTTTGCAAGAGCTAAGCAGGGCAGGTGAAGACAGGAGATTTTGCTCATCCAGAGCTTATCCTTCAAACTTATCCTTTACAATAACTGGCTATATGTTAATGGTAAACCAGGTCAGAGCATTTTCTACCTAGAAAATCCTGGCAAAGGTCAACATACATTGGAATCAATGTGATGACACCTAATTATTATTTTGCATTAATAACCTTCAGTCAATCAACTGTTGTTAAGTGCTGTCAAGTCATCTCCAATTTATGGCAACCTTATATATGAGAGATCTCTGAAATGTCCTGTTCAACAGCCCTGCTCAGCTCTTGCAGACTCAAGCTGGTGTTTCCATCTTGCATTTCGCCTTCCTCTTTTCCTGCTGCCTTCTACTTTTCCCAGCATTATTGTCTTTTCCAGAGAATCTTCCCTTCTCATGATGCACCCAAAGTAGGACAGCCTCAGTTTCAGAGTTTTTGTCTCCAGAGATTTCAAACAAATATTTTCTTTCCCGTCAGCTTTTTTGTACTGTCTAGCTTTTACACACCCCACATAGTGATCGGGAATACAACACTGTGGATGGTCTTGGTCTTCAGTGACACATCTTGATACTTGATATGTTCTAATTCCTTCATTGCTACCCATCCAAGCCTCATCTGATTTCTTGAGCTGCAGTCTCTTTTTGACTTCTGACTGCATCAAGGTATACAAAATCTTTCACTATTTCAATTTCTTCACTGTTGACATTAAAGTGGAATAATCATGATTCTGTAGTCATGATTTTTATCATCCCAATGTTCAACTATAGTCATGCTTTGGCCCTTTCTCCTTTCACTTTCAACAGATGTCATTTCAAATAATTGCTGCTTTCTGCCAGTAAGATGGTGTCATCTACATATATTAAATTATTGATCTTCCACCAATTTTTTAAATTTACCATCACTGCACTCAGATATTCATCTTGAAGATGC